AGTGCACAATAGAAATAAAATAATTGAGAGAAGAAAAATAGATGTTATCTATCAAAACCCAGTTAGATAAAACATTCTTTGGATTGCACACTTTGTTTGTTTGTTTGTGTGGATATGTAGCACATTCACATTTTACGTAATCAGATTACTTTTAGATTACTTTTGGATTACTTTCTGGAGACACAAAAAGCAAAAGGAAACTGAACGTGTTTTTACTGTTTTAATGGTTTATCAAGAGCACAACTGAAACATAACATCTGAAATGATGTAACAACATAATACACTTTTTGGGGATGCAGCTTGGGATGTGAGGAGTGAGGGACACGGCTTAGAACGGGCGTGTCGCCTTCTGTCCTGCCAGTGTTGGCAGGACATGAATTAAAATGTCGAACTCGGACTTCATTTTAAGGACATGTCGGCCAGGGGTGTAGATCTATATTTGTTTAAGCACCGGATTGGCAAAACAGGAGAGTGTGTGCACCAGTCTGCCTTGATCTATGAATTCATGTCCGTGACACTCACAGTATCTGCTGCCCGCAGCTGTTTTATAGAAGGAAAACCTCCTTCACTTCATGAAATCTCTGCAGCACCAGGAGGCAGCGGGAGGGTTAACTGAGCCTCTGAGAAGACGAGCGCGCCTGAGGAGTGACTCCCGTGAGGTTCATGTATTTTCTTCACTCCGCTGGGAAACTGCTCTCATGTCAAGAAGCATCAGATCAGTGCATGCGCTGCATCGTCCAATCAGTGAGCGATACACAGTAAGGGGGCGGGGCGAGTGTCTGAGGATTTCATCGAAGGATGGTCTGGTGGTTCCTCGGTTATAGCTCCTCGCTCCTCCGGCAAAAATAAGGCCATTGGGACGCTACTCAAGATGGTGCAGACAAATCAACTTCCGGTGAGACCGAGACCGAAGAGCGAGGAAATGAAAAATAAGAGAAGCGAGAAGGGCCCAATGACTCGCCAGCAACAGGCGGCCACTTTCACCAGTCTGCTGACGTCATGTGCGCGTTCATGTGTGTTGGAGGAGGTGCTCTGTAAGGAAGTCTGAAGGAAGGGGCGGATTCTTTTCGGCTGTGTACTTTCAAATTTTAGTGCACTCGAGCCGGTTTCTGAAACGTACCTACCCCACCTTTAAAGCCCCTGTCACACTGTCCCGAAATTGACACCCGATAAAGGAAATGTTCAAATTCGGCTGTGATCGTAGCAACATCGGGCCATTCGTGAGGGCATCTAAGCCAACGTATGACCGCCGGTGGAGTTTCTCAGGCTCCGGCAGCAACTTCGTGAGCGGCAACTTCGTAAGGCACTCGTGAGGGCATCTTGTCAAATCGTGTCATCTTCGTGTTATCATCGGTGCATTTACCCTCACTCTGATCGGGGCGAATGCCCGATGGCACCGATGATAACAAGATGCCCTCACGATGGCCTTACGAAGGGCAAAATTGACACACGAATTCAACACGAAAATGAACCTTCGCAAGGTCCTTCGGCTATTTTTTGGCATGCCAAAGATTTTGCCACCGCTCACGAAGTTGCTGCCGGAGCCTGAGAAACTCCACCGGCGGTCATACGATGGCTTAAGATGCCCTCACGAATGGCCCGATGTTGCTACGATCACAGCCGAATTTCAACATTTCCTTTATCGTGTGTCCATCTGGTTGTTTTATTGCACAACAAAATCATGTAAACATATTATGTAAATAACCCAATTTGTGTTCTGTGAAACTGAAAAGGATATAATATATTATTTTGAAGGCAAGTTGACAGGAAGTTGTTGTTGCTATGGAAACAACAACATGACGGAGAAAACGTAATATCTTCTACATATAAAGACGGAGAAAGTAAAGAACAAAGTCTGAAAATATCAGTACAGTATCATAGTACTTTAACATAATTGTTTGTGTTACTTTCGTTGCAGTTGTATGTCTTAAATGTAATGTAAATGTTGACTTCGTGTGTGGTTCGGGGCCATCTTCGTGCGAAATTCACAATTCAATATTCGTGTGTCCATCGGGTGTACATTTCGGGACAGTGTGACAGGGGCTTAAGCAGAAGATTTGAAGACACAACCTCAGCTGTGTATAAACAAAACAAGCGTTTTCACGATGTTCTGACATTTTATAGAGGAAAATATAAAATGATTTCCCAGTTATCGACGTATACAGCATCAGCAATTTAATTATTCTTTAAATAATACGTTTGGAACAGAGGCTCAGAATTAAACAACTTTTAAAAAGAGGGACGGATACTTAAGACGCACATTTAGCTCTTTATAGACCAGGAGGAAAGGCCTCCACAACAACGTCTTTCTTTGTTAGGGGAAACTTAGTAACATAGTGTGTTGCCATTACCTACCTAGTACCAACCTTCATGAAAAGGACAGCCAATAGCCACAAGTTAATGCCCATTCTTTGACAATCAGGAGTTGGCGTAGAATTTGACGAGGCGAGTTGACAGAACCCCTTTCTGTCAACTTGTCGTTCAACATAAAGACAAATGACAGCGTGACACACAACAACTCCTGGAATTCATTGAACATTTCATACTACACAAGACTGCAAAGCCATCAGGCTTCATCTGTGGTTGACAGACTCGTTTTGGTTTGAATGAACACCAGCTCCTTTTTATATGTCTGCCTCATCAGGGGCCTCATTTATAAAGGGATATACGCTCAAAAAATGGCGTAGGCCTACGCCAGTTTCTACGCAATGTTTGCGATTTATACAATACTAACTTGACGGGAAAATGTGCGGTCCTCCACGCAAACTCTAACCCATGCGTACGCACTAAGCACAAACACGGGAGAGACGAGAAACTGCGACACCGCGTTGGCAGAAGGAAGAATGGAGAGAAATATGTGGAAATAATACCATAAACAAAATGTTACCTCTCATTTATCATATATGAAGAATTCATTTTCAAACATTGATTAAAGCCAATCTTAAAATGTGTACACAAAAACATAACTTGGAGAAATAAATAAATACGGATATCCTATGTTATTTAAAACCACCTCGAATTATGTTGTGTTAATGTTATGACATGTTTTCTCATAAATGATGCTGTTTTGCATTTCTATAGGTTGTACGAGCATGGTTTTATATACTACCATGTTTAATCATGTTTTATGCCGTTTGCTAAGACTTGATAAGTCGCTCATAAAACACAGGAGGTATGGAAACTAAGAACACCATATGTGGTAAATTGTACAGCTAATATAACACAACACATTAGTTGTATTTCCTTTAACTGGTGGATATAGAGTTGCTGCAGTGGTGACGCTGCGCACAGCTGATCGACAGCTGGGACACAAACCACCAAATACGAAAACATAATTCAGATCCAGTCGTCATGACTCTACTCCGGAGGGATTCCCCGATCATTTCTTACAGTCTCTCATCAAGGGGGGGGGTCTCCTGTCCCCTGTCCCCTGTCCCCTGTCCCCTGTCCCCTGTCCCCTGTCCCCTGTCCCCTGTCCCCTGTCCCCTGTCCCCTGTCCCCTGTCCCCTGTCCCCGGTACAAACACACTGCCTCAGGAAGGCTATGTGTATTGTTTTTGTCATGAACCTTTTTCAGACCACTTATTTATTTATTTTGGTGACGATCCGACCTCCATGCTGATACTCTGGTTCAAACCAAACGGCATCCACCAAACAATATGATTTATCTCGACCTCCCCAAAATAACCAAAATCTGACACGGTGTGAGATGTCTTTTTTAGCTGTTCTGTCGTCATTTCCTGCTATCTTCTTCATAAAGTCAGTCAGAATGAATGAATGAATGGGCGTTTCTTTGACTATTTATAGGCAAATATGGGCGTTACGTGAAGCCCGCAAAAGCTGCACCGCATTTCGAGTCGATTGTGATTTATAAAGGGAAACCGGCGTAGGAAGTGCTGTACGCACTTTCCTCGCCGGTACGCAATGTTTGGTGAATCGGAAAATGTCGGAACATTTCTGTACCTATTTTTTGGATTTCTACTAAGTAAGCAACCTTCCCACATGAATCCTACGCATAAATTAGGCCCCAGGGCATCACATGTGACACAAATCATTATTCTTTCAAAGCAACATTGAGCTTCATTCAATGATAGCCTTACAGAGCCTGCATAATGTTCCACACAGTCAACGGCCCACCTGCAGCCCTGCACTGTTGATTTTTTTGAGACATTAGATATTTGGGTTAAAGGCTTATTTTTGGGCGTTCTTAGACGCATATGGCCCTAACCTCCACTTTGATTCTATCCAATGCTGAATATAACAGTTATAATTGTTTAAGAGATAATGATGGCTAGTAAAAGTTTGTGCCCAACCTTTATCTACTGTATGGTTGCGGGTATTGTATGAACATTCCTATTGAATTGAGATTTCAAAAACAACTTTATTTGAATATTTTCGATGTAGTTCACTGTATGCATAATACAGAACTGTCTAAATGCAGATGAAAGCGTAGAAATCACAGAGCAGCAGATTTTTTTTCTGTCACTCGTCTCTCTCTGTGGCCTCTCCTCACCCCGTGACGCCCCTCCACTGTGTATTATAGAGAGTACTTGTGAATGGCATGATTGTGTCTTCAGTAAAGAGTGTGGCAGCTGCTGTTCTCTGCGTTGGCCAAGGCTTAAGTGTGTGCTTGGGTGTGTGTTTTTGTGTTAATGGTAATCCTGTAGATCCCGTTGACTTATCCTTTATCCTTTATGAGTATGCATGTCGGGGCTCCTGCTAAAAAAAATGTGGCCCTTCCAGTACATTACATAATAGCACATCGAGTCCGTCATAATCTGACACGTTTCGTAATCTGGCAGACTGCAGAAGGTTTGATTCAACAGTTGGTAGAAGTCTGTTTTTGTTGCAGTGTCGGATAAGTCCTGCTAGTGCTTGGATGTGTTTATTTTGTTGGATCTATTTGTGTGGAATCTGGATGCAGTGTTCTTTTAGAAACAAGTGATATTTCTCCCATACTTAAATCCTCAGGGTATTAATCTTTTGTCTTCTGCTTTACAGTGGTAATGTCTTGACTTGGTGGTCTCTCCAGCCCAGTAAAGGACGAGCCTGTGCAGAGTTGCTGCTAATGGGAACTCCTGCTCCGCCATGAGTGCTCGTGATGGCGTCGGGGGCATGGGCACCCTGGGCCGGCGGCCGCGCTTCGAGAACTCAGAGTTCACCGTGCGCATCTACCCTGGCTCCCTGGCCGAGGGCACCATCTACTGCCCGATCAGCGCCCGCAAGACCACCACAGCAGCTGAGGCCATCGAACGCGTCATTGAGCGCCTGCAGCTGGACCGCACCAGGTGTTATGTTCTGGCTGAAGTGAAGGAATTTGGCGGGGAAGAATGGATTCTCAACCCCAGCGACTGCCCCGTGCAGCGGATGATGCTCTGGCCCCGAGTGGCACTAGAGCACCGGCCGCTGTCTGGCGGAGAAGATTACCGCTTTCTTCTCAGGCAGAAGAACCTGGATGGCTCGATTCACTATGGGGGCAGCCTCCAGATGTGGCTGCAGGTCACAGAGGAGCGCCGGCGCATGGTGGAACGTGGCCTGCTGCCACAGCCCGAGGCTCAGGGGGACCACGCAGACCTTTGCTGCCTGCCGGAGCTCAACGAGCGCTCGCTGCTGGACAACCTGCGCTCGCGCTTCCGCCAAGAAAAGATCTACACGTATGTCGGAAGCATTCTCATCGTCATTAACCCCTTCAAGTTCCTGCCCATCTACAACCCCAAGTATGTAAAGATGTATGACAACCACACGCTGGGTGATTTGGAGCCACATATTTACGCGGTGGCGGATGTGGCGTACCACGCCATGCTGCAGAAGGAGAGAAACCAGTGCATTGTTATATCTGGGGAGAGTGGATCTGGGAAGACGCAAAGCACAAACTTTCTCATCCATCATCTGACCGCTCTCAGCCAGAAGGGTTTTGCCAGTGGAGTGGAGCAGATCATCCTGGGGGCCGGGCCAGTACTAGAGGTAAGTGAAACATGAGCAATCTGGGATTCAATACAAACCTATACAGTATGTTGTTTGCTAATATGCTCTGCTGTCAACAAAGCTGGGAGACTTGGCCTCGAGTCCAACCCAAGTTAAACAAATAATGACTTGAGACCTGAGTTATGTGAGACTTCTTGACTGATTGACTCCATAAAAATTAGACCTTACTTAAAAGGAAAAACATTTGTGTCAAGACTGTGAGTCTTAGTTTTTGCTCAATTTAACCAAGTGTTAAAAGGACAGAGTATCAACTCCTGTGCGGATTGTAAACCCCTTTGAGAGAAACATTTGATTTGTGATCTTGGTATGAATTAAATTGACTTGACTTGGGACTGGACTTTGAGTGATCATGTCAGCAGATTAGTTGCCACACCTTATTAAGAAGCTTTCATTACTCAACCCTTGTGTGGTGTTCATATTTTTGTTACTCAGCCAGCGTTTGTGGGTCTGGTGGACCCGCTGCCTTTTTGGGTTTCAATTCAACACAATCAAACTATTTTATGTTAAAATACTCAACAGATGTTTACTTCATCCCAATTACAAGCAATATAAACAGCATATATGGTTAATATTTGCCCTTTTTACATTTGTCAGATCACATTAATGAATTAAAGTGCTACTTGTTCTTTTGCCCGCTTACTGGCTGGTCCTGTGGCTCGTCTTTTTTTGTAACTAGCTGATGCTCAATCTCATCCTCTTCTTCAAAGTCACTGTCAGACTCAGAATTCTCAGAAATGTGATCCTCACATTCTGAAACCTCTTCCTCCACATCATCATCAAATGGTTCACTCTCTTCCAAAATCATTTGCAAGGCCCTCTGAGCAGAGAATCTTTTGGCCATCTTGATCACTTGATCAAGCTTTATTTATTGTGTTCCCCCCAAAATTTGCAGCTGGGATAGAGTGAAAAAAATAAAGATTGGTTTCCGCAAGACATAATGCTGAAATGTGAGAGCAGACAGGTTTCGGTGCTTGAATTTATCAACAATGTTGCAACCTTGTGTGGGAATGGCAGGGGCAGAAACACAAACGTCTCACATACATACGCAAGCACGCACACGCACGCACACACACGCACACACACGCGCACGCACAGTGTGACTGTGAAAACATTATTTATGATCTAATTTTGGATAAATAATGAAAATGGGTCCCACAGACCCCAACACCATACAAGGGTTAAAAAAGGTCTGCTCAAGACTTCATTACCCAGATCCTGTCTCAGATGTCTCTGCAGGCTTTTAGTTTCAAGTTGGCTGGAACAAAGTTAATTAATACTTGCCTTGAATGACTGGAGACTTGACTTTGATTCACATTAAAACATAGTACACATTAGTTTAACCATAACACAAAGGTGAAGTATTACGTGTGGATACATTTAGGTTACATCAATGTGTGTGAACCATAGTGTTGTCCTGTATGAATCGATTGATTCCTTCCACCATACTCAACATGACTCGCTGTGAATGTATTTCCGTGTGGCTTTTAACATCAGTTACACAACACTGCCACAACTGTCTCTATGGTTGACCCCGGGTTGTGTCCCCATACAGAGGTTTCAGTTCAGCTGTGTGGGGATTATGTAGCACACACAGAGGATCTCTCTATCTCCAACTGCCAGTGCTGGCTCAGTGGTTACAGTTGTGGATTCTTGTTTTTGTGATTACAGTCTTTATTTTTGTTGCACAGTGGAAAGGTTGTCTCAAGGTAGACCCTGTAGAGGCCCAGTCAAAGGTTGTGAAGGAAACTGCCTGGTTGTTTTCATATCACTCAAAAACATTCCTTTCATATTCTTTTGTCTCTTCAGGGACCTGTCACTTTAAGGCAAGGCAGTCAAGAGTCTTTGACAAGTTCACAACCACACATTGTTTTCTCATTTGTCTTTTCAACATCAACTGAATTCCTGACCATTGCATAACACCCTTGAACTGTATGCACAATGCTTCCAGTGTACAGTGTTGTAATTCGTAAGGGTTTGTATCATTCACTGTCAAGTCAACTGACCACCTGCTGTTTGCACTTGTTTAACTAACCAAGAACAGGGCTGGATCACAGAAGTGCATACATTCATTCTGATATTTATTATGGATATAAAACCAGCATTAACAATTGTGTTCATTATCTAACAGCCAAAAAATGAATAATATTTGACTTAATGGCAACTCAAGTTTTGTCTGATTTAAATTGTCACTATCACAGTCCAAAATCTGATTTATTTATTTCATTTCCTCCCCATGTAAAGAAATAAAAAGGCTCCCAATTTCCTCTGCATCAGTGTCAAGTTGAAGCTGGCAGCTTAGTAAGAAGCCAAGTTCAAAGTTAGCTGGCATGAAAGCACCCTTTGCAACAAGTAGCTCTACACTGCGATTTATTGCCTTCGGTTTAGCAAACACAGTTCTCAGGAATGCCATTCATCGGTGTGACTCCCGGGTTAATGAGTAAGCATATTGGGTTAATCCTCAATGGAGCAACACGAGTGAGTAGTTTTGAGTGCAGAGGAGCAGCCTTTAATTGTTTGCACAGTAAGATTGCGTATCTGCTGGCTGGTGATTAATGCCAAGACTGGAGCTGCGGTGCTACTGAAGATCGAGATAGAGCAAAGGAGAGGAGGAACAGCAGCCAGAATGACCTCATAGGAACAATTAATCTTCATTTCCTTGTAGCTCTTCATTCAGGAAAGTCGACATGCAGCACAGGAGAAATGACACGCGTCATTTTCAATACATTCTGTTGATTGGTTCTCCTTCTGTAATTGTGTGTAGTTGTATTTCATCACAGAGATTGATGCCCTAGTCGCAGTAGAAAGTAGAGAGTTGAACTGGAGTTAATGTTCTCAAATTCTAATGTAAAGAGCTTTCCATTTAACCTTGAACTCTGACATGGGCCATTGGTTTTCAAGAGCTCTGCTTCAGTTGGCTTGAAGAGGAACTTTGATTTTCAACATCAAAGTTGTAGGTGTTTGGGAGAAGAATGTGAAAAAAGTGGATTAAAGCTATTTGTGGCGTCAGAAAGATTCAGGTTCAATATGTTAAGATTCTAGCTTAATGTCAGTGATTTAGTGTTTAATTTAGATTAGAGATGTACAACACGTTTTCTTACATGTTTGTGACTCGGTCAGGTTAACATCCAGAAATGTCTGATATCGAAAACCAGGATAGTGTTGAGCCATCCCCCTAAAGTCAACAATCCTTTAGCATAGCAGACAGCCGCTTCCTGCTGACTGTCAGTCGCAGGGCAAGCTCAGCCCAAAGCCTAAAGCGTAGAGAGAGAGGTTTTTTTTTAAAACTCCATAGGATATCACTTACAAGAGGTTTTGGTCTTTCTGGAAACCAGCAAACAGCTGCTACTGTTACTTGTTAAGATCCTGACACGCCCTGTCGCTCAAGTGCTTCAATTAATAAAGCTCAGCTTAAAGGAGATGAAAACATAAACCATTGTTTTTATTCCAAATGAAGGAAATCAGAGATGTGGAAGACTTCAATTGTGGGTCAGAGATTGAAGGGGAAAAGACAGATTTGACTGATCCTTCAACACCTTTGAACTTCAATTGACCTCGCACAATGAAGACAGGTACAAACATTTGTGAAATACGACAAATACTTCATCTTGGTTCAGTGCTTATCTGCTGTCTGTCATTCCTAAAGTTGTTTTCCTTCTTGCGCAATATATGATTCCAATTGACATTAAGCTTTACATTCCTGTGACTACGTACAGTACTTGCACATTGGAATTTATGGTGTGAAATAGTTTGGATCTTTTTTGTCTCCATGCCCATCAAAACATTATATACAGGAAGTTTTGTATCACACAAAAATAAAATGCAGTAACAATATATATAGAAACTCTTTCACCCAATCCATAACCTTGTGTGGTTATATTTTAATTTAACAACACTGACTTTTACTGAAGCGCAATAGATAATAGACAACTTTGAAGGAAGGCTTTGCAGCATTGCTTCTGTAGCATTAGAGGTGTAAAAGCTGCTTGATTCTCTGCTTGATGTCCATTTGTTTTGACAGTGCTAATCAGTAATGCTGGGTCAGTGCAGATGTTTCATTTCATTTCATGAACACTTAAAACATTCAAATGTGTCAAGCGTAATAGTGCCAGATTTAGCATTGAGTTTTGTCTTCGCTTCTTTGCAATATCTCTACAACGACCAAATATCTGTTGGATTGATGCATTTTTGATAAAAAAAGTTTTTATCTTGTGTGGTTCGGGGATGGATTCTTGTTGGTGCACTATAGTTATTTGTAGTTTTCTTGTGCTAGCTAGTCATCATCTAGTGTTTAACTACCACCCAGGCTTTGTATCCAGATGTTAGCCTGTTACATCTTTTTGTTTCAGGTGGCTACCTGACATTTAGGAATGATTTAAAGCACAGTCGGGGAATGAATGTCCAAAGTAGGTATAATAAAGAGAGATGTGCTTAAAATGGGGCGTCGGGTTGAAGAATAGTTAACATAATGAAACTTTTTCTGCTTTACTGTCTACCAATGTTCGCTGTATATATACAGAATTGACTCGCAACAAATAGGTAAAACCACCCAAAAAAAAGAATATTACAGCAACTTTATAATAATGTATTTTTATTCTTGAATAGAACACATCAATATTTAAATTCACAGCATTGTATGGTACCAATACAGAGCAATAACATTTAACTATAATAAGAAGGAACTGTCTGAACTTGGTTGTTGACACTGCTGAAAACAAAGACTGTTCACAGGAAATGTGGTCATTTGTTTTTTACATGTGAGCCAAGTGGCATCTTAATATGAGCTCAGCTGTCTTGCTGTCTCTCCCCTCTCCCCCCCCCCCCCCCTTGGGTCAGAAAGGAGAGTATGGGTTTACCTCACGCTGCTCACTCTGACACTGCATCATCACAATCTGCTCTACAAGACCATAGGCGTCATAAGCCATTTGTGTGTGTGTGTGTGTTGTGGTGTGTGTGTGTGTGTGTGTGTGGTGTGTGTGTGT